GGGGACACGGGGGGTTGGGGATCGTTTGCGGGCACGGGGAAAAAAAAACAAAAAAAAAAAAAAAAAAAAAAAAAGTAAAAAGAGAAGAGAAAAAAAAGGAGGGAAATCGAGAATAGAGTAGTGGTTACCAGAGGCAAGGAAAGGAAGGTGCAGGGGGCAGGGGAAAGGTTGGTAGATGGTACAAAGTTACAAAGTTACTTAGGAAGGTTAAGTTCTGGTGCTGTAGTGTGACAATAGCTAATAATACTGTATTGTATATTTCAAGATAGCCAGAAAAGAGGATCTTGAATGTTATAATCACAAAGAAATGATAAATGTTTAGGTGATAGATATGCTAACTATATCTGATTAGATCATTATTCAATATATGCATGTATTGAAACAACAAACGGTACTCCATAAGCATTTACAATGAAAAAAAAATTTAAAACAAAAAATTGTGTTTGTGTGCTCTGTCCACTGAAAGGACCTAACAGCAGAAACCACCAATAACAATAAGCACACATAATGCCTAGATCTTGCATTCTAACTACCATTCTCCACTAAAAGATATTGGAGATATCTTCTAAAAGGTATCTACTTGGGGAAATGGCTGATTAAGGATTGGTCAGGAAAAGTAAAAGGTAAGCCTGGAATAGTTTGTTGAGCCAATACGTAAGCATGTGCTCAAAAAATGATCGGGACATGTCAAAAGCACAAAGAAGATAGCTTTAAGAGGCTCCCATTGGCCAATTATGAGAAAATTTGAGCAACAAAATAAATAATAGTGGGAAATATGGAGTAGATGTACTTTTTCCTATTCCCATTGCTTAGTATAATTAAAAACTCTGAGCATTACATATAAAATGAACATAAGAAGATTCTGATAGAAAGAGGGAAGAAAGCAGACCAGCTAGGGACCTCTGAAACCAAGGAACAGCATTGTGGTGAGTTCCCTGGATTTTCTTTTGCCTTATATATCCCAATGTGGTGCTGAGGAAGCCAGCAAACTGGAAATACCATCAAGTGCTGACCAAAAGGAACCCCCAAGAAAGCCTGCTCTCTTTAGCTGAAGGACTAGGAAAAGTGCAGGCTAGCAAAACAGAAAACTTTCAGAAAATAGCTGCTCTGTGCTGGCCAAACACCACAGATAAAACTATAGCCCCCACTGCTACTCATTGCCAGCAAAGTCCAAGTGGGAAGCTAAGAATTCCACCCCCACAAGGCTGTAACAAGGTACTCCAACATCCCACTAAAAATAGCGTCAGAGAAGGACACTTAGAATCTTATCCTTACTAGTCAGTAAGGATAATGAGCCTGGTAATGAACTGATAATGAGTCCCCCTCCTTCTGTGGTGTCATTGGAGACCACAGGGAGAGCCTGCACTTCTGTTCCAACCCATCAGTAATAAGGCACTTCTCCCCTCCCCTGCTGGGGGGGTGTCAGAGGAGTCCAGATTTTCACCATAGTGGAGCAGTAACAAAATCACCCCCACTGTGGTGTCAGTGAACAGTGGAACTCCCACCCTCACACAGAAGTAATGTGGAGACAGACACACACCTTGGTGGTCAATAAAGGCCAAGGGTGAACCTGGACTTCTACTTCTACCTGGCACTTCCTAGCAGCATTTCTGCCTTTTCTTGCTGGAGCAGTGTCAGAAGAAGCCAGATAAAACAGAAGGTCTACATAAGATCCAATATCTCATACCATAAAACAAAAATGTCAGATTTCAACAGAAAATCACTCATCATACCAAGAGCTAGAAAGATCTCAAGCTGAATGAACGAGACTATCAACAGTTGCCAGCATTGAAATGAAACAGATCTAAGAATTATCTGACATAGATTTTAAAGCAGCCATGATAAAAATTCTTTAGTGGGAAATTATAAGCATAATTAAAGCAGATGGAAAAATTGAAAGCCTCAGCAAAAACATAAAGAAGAACCAAATAGAAATTTTAGAAATGAAAAATGCAATAACTGAAATAAGAAAGCTCAGTGATGGGCTCAACAGTAGAATGAAAACACAGCAAAGAAT